ACTGATCAGTGTCTCTGAGGAAGGCTTAAAAAGCTTCTGACATATGCAGCAGGGGTGTGGGGGAGGCGGTATCACTCCCAGCCACATGCAGCAACCAGCAAAGCCCACAAGCATGGGAAATACCCATAATGGATCATAGGCACAGCTACTCCTAGACCACCTAGATAAGCCAGAGGCAAATCAGCATCTTCCCAGAGGCAGAATTAAGTAGAAAAGGAATAGCTGGTCAGAGAGCTATCTAACTGACAGTGCCTGCTGGGACAGCTCTTGGGTTGGGGCACTTGCCACATCACTAGTAGCTGAGGGCTGTCTTTTAAGTCATCATGTAGCTTGGACTGCCCCCCCCAGGATTCAAAGCAATTGCTCTAGGAGACGCTCAGTCCTCAGGCTCTTTATAAATGTCACACTTCTCTTCCCATTCATTAATGCAATGGGGCAGGTACAGAAGAAATCTATAACTACTGTGCTATGAATGTGAAATAGTTGTGGCTGTGCCACAGATGCTGGCTGCTATCAAATGCTTATCGAGCTCGTTGATGCTGCGCATGTTAGTCCCTGCACAGGGTTATAAATGTAGTTGAAAGGGAAGGGGAAAAAAAGTCTGTCTTCTCTCTGGTTTCTCAGCCTTCTCCCCTGAGGGCTGCTGTTTTCAGTCTCTCTGCCTGATCTCTCTGTTTATGTCCTGCAGGAGGGCTTCGAGGATGCTGACCCCAAGGGAAAAAGGGGGGGAAAAAACCCCCACTGTCACTTGAAGTTGGGAAGTAACTTTTCTTCCTGTTTTCTACCGGGGCGGGGCCACCCAGGTGTGTAATGTTGTGTTCTGCAAGTGTAGTCTTCCTCGAGTTTAAAAACCAGCCGGAAGTGATGCCGACCCATTAGGATGTCGACATCTAGTTTGTTTCCAAAGATGACTCGCTAAATCAATTCAGGGGCACGGCGAGCGTGTCTAGCTAGGAAAAAGAATTATGCCGCACGTTAGGGACAGCATCGCTACTTGGAGAGCAAGGCTAACACAGTGGGCGGCCAAGGGCTTGAGAGTCTCTTCTGCCTGACCCCCTTGTTGACCCAAAATGTTGTGGCAAGTTAAGGGACAAGCTGTGTTACGAATTGCTGTTGCAGCCTTTCTCCTGTCTGCTGGTCGTGGCTTGGGGATTCATCCCTTGAGCACTTCTGCAGGTCTTTGTGATGCCCGGACAGAGAGGTTATCCGTAAAGGGCCTTGAAATGGAACCCCGCCCCCAAGTGTCAACCTCCTTACCCAAGGCTCACGCCGAGGTGGCTGCTGGGCCCCGCAGTGTGCTAGAGATGGGCATGGGACCCTGCTGGGAACGCCGCAAAATTGGGGTTTTTCCTGTGGGCTTAGGCTCGGGTTTGAGTAGAGGCTTCTTGATCTCTCTGTGGGTTTTTGGTTTTTTTTAAAGGGAGAAGGTGAGTAACTTATAAGTGGGCCCCGCGGTGTGCTAGAGATGGGCATGGGACCCTGCTGGGCGCGCCGCAAAATTGGGTTTTTTCCTGTGGGCTTAGGCTCGGATTTGAGTAGAGGCTTCTTGATCTCTCTGTGGGTTTTTGTTTTTTTTTAAAGGGAGAAGGTGAGTAACTTATAAGTTACATGTTAAGGTAAAACTTAGGTATGAGGTTTTATTGTCATGAATATTACACACACACACACACACACACACACACACACTGTAATTATTATTATATTTATAAGTTGCTAGCGCATTGGGTAGGAGGAAAAGCACGCTTTACTTTGTTTTATATTATTATTTGATGGGTTTTGGGAATTCCACCCGGTGTTCAGGGTGGCAAGATACTTTTTTTATTGCGTTTTTAGTTTTGGGGTTTTTTTAATTAGTTTTGTTTAAGGTTTTGTTTTTTATGATTTTTTTTTTTTCCTTTTTATTTTTAGGGGATTTTTTAATTATATGAAGTTTTTAGTTTTATTACTTTTTACAGGTTAGAGTAAGCTTAATTGTATGTTGCAAAGCAGGGTTACTTTGGGCTTTGTTGAAGTTTTTTATAGTTGTTATTTTGGGTATTTTTTTAGAATAGTTAGTTATATAAAGCAGTTTTAATATTTATTTTTAGCAGATTAGCAGATGTATTAGGTTATATTTAGGTGGTCTTTGGGTTTTGTGAAGTTGTTTTTTGGGGGAGTGTTAGTTTGGCATTTTTTTAGAGGTCTTTTTGGGATGGGTTTTACAATTATTTCTTGACTGGTTGCATTTGCATATATTTATGCTGATTAAAATTGTATAGGGTGATATAGTTGTTGACGTAATTTGTTAGATTTTTTATTTGTCAATATAGCCTTTGGGCATAGCAAGTAAGTATACACATTAAAAAATATAAGATAATGATGTATAATTATATTATATTATTATATTACCGCTCTCATCCATCTACCACACAGCACAGAGTAGCACAGCTCCAGGCAGCTCCCCACAACCTCCCTGGCCGGTGGCAGCCTTGCCCTGTGCCTCAACCGTAGACTCCATCCCACAACCCACGAGCCGCTCCACATTGTTGCCACCCACCAAAGGCTACAAGTCATCCCCTCCCTCTCCCGCTCACCCCTGACACCTAAATACCTCTTTCCCCCCCCACCCCGACTACCCACCCTGATGTCCAACAGCCACCATCCACCCTGCTCACCCCCAAAATGAGTCCCTCCAAAAGGGGCACACACACAGCATATCCTCCTCCAAACAGCACCCACAGGAGCAGGGGCTGCCATGCAGCACCCCATCCCACAGGCACCCATTCTCCAGCCACAGCACACACGGGCCTTTCATTCGGCACCGCCTCAGCCTGCCGTTACTCGCCATACAAACTGGGGGTGCCCTAGGCCACCAGGCCCCCTTCCTCCTTCAGGGGCACACAGGCACCACTGCCTCAACAGGGTTGGGGGGGGGTGGGGCATTCACTGCTCTCCTCTCTTACACTCCTGCCAGGTTCTCAGCAGCCCTGCTGACTGCCTGCACACCTCCAGCTTCTGCAACACCAGGGCCATACACCACAGCCGCCTCCCTGACAGGCCCGCCAACCTCAGCACACCTGCCCCACTCACAGAGCCACCCCACCTCACAACCTCCCCACCCAAGCTAGCTCCCCTCCCCCAGTGACTCCATGCCAGGCTGCACCCTGCCACAAGCCCCCTTATCTGACACCTGCAGCCACAAGGGCCAGAGGCCCACGGTCACCCTGCTCCCCCTCACCCACCAGCTCCATCCCGCCGTCCATCCCTTTCTACAGCAGATCCTCCGGGGGTCTGTACGCCAGGCAGGCCCCTATCGCAGGCCAACACCAGGTCCACACAGTTCTTGAGGCTGAAGGTGCAGAACAACAGACCTCCATCTCCATCGACAAACAACGTCTTCCTGCCCAGTTGGGATGCCCCGGAGTTCCGGAAACTCTCTGCGTACCTCTCTCATTTTACAGGCAACAGCAGGTGACCACCAGGTGCCATGGGCTGCACGTGGGAAGGCTCGCCGGGAGGCAGGCATCACGGACAGGTAAGGAAGAGCCAGAAATCATAAGTGTGAATCTGTTGATGCTTGCGTTGGTCTGTCTGACATTTGGAGTCCCAATTGGAGTCCCAATACTTTCCTCTCCAGGGATCAGGGGGTGACCCATAGGAAACGTCAGCAGACCCTGGCACCAGTAAGTACTTCTGGGGACTGGGTCAGGAGCACCCACCACCCCTGAGCTTTCATGGCTTGGATGATTATGGCCCCCCTTCTCCGACAGGCTCGGCAGTCATTGGGAAGGCCCAGAATCCTCCCCATTTTGGTCTCTGCCACATTTTCTGGGATGAAGGATAAGGTGCGCGCATCTTTTTGCCCCGCACAATAACTTGTGTCTCAGAAATCCAACCCGGGGAGCTCAGTAGACTTTGGTCTAGGTAACGTGAACACAGGCACCTGAAGAAGAAGGAGAGCAGAGAGCATACTTGTGCTGCCCCAGAAACAAAGGCAGAGGTGACCATGACAGCTGGCTCCGCCGCTTGCCAGTGTGGCAAAAAACTTGAAGGGCGCCGTTCCTCGCTAAGTCGGTATTGACACGGCGATTGGTTGATCTTGCTCCGTAGGGGTCTTGTGCCTGGGAAGGAAAATCATGCACGTGGGAAAGCTCTGCAGAAGTGGCTGCCACTGTATTTTCATACGTTTCTTACTCGACCGCGTCACATTGGGGGTATGGTGTCTATGGGCTGGGTTTCCAGCATTTCATTTGGGGTGCCCAATGGTGAGACCACCACTTTCCTGAACAGGCAAGGACCTACGATAGCCGGCCTCAGTGTTAGTCATTTGGATCCAGCTGGCGCCAGTCTGCCTATTAGCTCATGCAAGAAAGAGCTCGCTCTAAACTTTGAATGAGAGAAAGAATTTGCACGCTAGCTCTACTCCTAGAAAATAGAAAGGGCTTTTCTCCTACTGGATGCATTCACTTGCGCGACAGCCAAAACAAAGTCCCTGGCCTCGTCCTGGTACCCTGCGGTAGGGAATGTCAGGGAATGCCGGGCACTGATTGGCACCAATGGAGACTGGCTGAGGAGACACAGGCGCGGGGGAAGAGTCACAACGTATCGCTTTCCATGGGGAATACCCAGGGGCATGCGACATTTGTGAACCATTCGGTTGGGAAAACACTGTGACTCTGGGCATACATTGCTCATCATCATGAGGGATACGTGGGAGCCTGTAGCCTAGGATGGCATTCATGGGGTGTTCAAAAAAAACCCTTTCCACCTTTTTTTTTTTCCTCGCAGAGATGACTCATCAGCTGTGGGAAGTCACATGGAAGATTGGGCATGTGCTTGGAACCCTCTGCAGTTGCGGGTCAGTACGTGGAAGCCTCGGCAACTGTTCTCAACATCAGCGAGACGCAGAGCTCCCTCGTTCTCAGGCCCCATTGCCTGAGGGGCCCCGTGAGCCCCACTCACCGAGGCCCTTGCAGGGATGGGCACAGACACTTATAAGCCACAGGCTTGGTATACTTGCCACCGGGGCACCAGGCCTAGTGTGCCAGTTGATGCCTGCCTCTTCTGGTTTGTTCCTCCTCTGCTTTGCCCCTTCTTAAGTTTGGCTAAGCTCAGGGCCCCTTGCCCATCAGCATGGGTCAAGAACAGATGTGGGGATGGACAAGTTCTGAAAGCACAGCCTCCGCTCTGACTTTCAAAGGAAAGGCGGCCATTCCCAGGCAGACAGGCCTTGGCTTTGCCCACCTACCTCGTGCCGGCCAGGGACAGAAAAGGAGGCAGCAGAACCCACTGCCCTGCAAATGGAGGCGGGGGCACCAAGCACTTGGAAATCAAACAGGAGGCCACACAGCAGACCCGCCTGGCTGGGTGACCCTCTGGGGGATTTTGCTCGGCAAAAAGGAACAAGCTCCCACTTCCAGAAGCAATGACCTGCACAAAGCTAGAAGGCCGCTCACTCGGTGCCCTGGCACAAGCACGCTCACGGGAGGACAGCGCGCTGGGCAGCCAACGTCGGGCCCTGTAAGCTGCGGCAGCACACAGGGACAAGCGCTCCCAATACCAGAGAAATGCGAGGCTACGAGGCTGTCCCTGGGCCCAGCCACCAGCAGGCAATCCTCCTGAGGGTGCCTCTCATTGACAGCAATGTTCCACATGGCTTCGCTTTTTCCAGGAAGGGACAGCAGCTCGGGCTCCCACAACCAGGGCCCTCTCTCCTTCCCGACCTGCCCCAGACGCAGCTCATGCGTGCCTTTGGACAGCGGAAGCTCATTGGGGCCACAGGTGACTTCCTGGGCATCGTGTTGTGACTCCTCTGCAAGGACAGCCAGCCCTTGGGGGCTGGGCCAGAGGTGGCAGAGCGGCAGCTGGGCTCACGGCCTTGTGCCTTTCAAGGGCCCCGGGGGCAGCCCCATGTCTCAGGCTCGGACTTGGGCTTGAGCAAGTCCCGGGGGAGGGCGCAGTGAGGGATGCCCTGCTCCACCCTGCGGTGGAAGGCAGAACCTTGCTCTGGCTGCGCAAAACCCTCTTGGAGCCCCGGGCGATGTCAGTGCCGTGATACGCAGGAACTGGCATGCTCAGTAGGCAAGGTTCTTTGAGCAGGTGGGAGATCTTGTTTTCGACCAGACAAGCAGCTTGAAAAAAGGTCTTAGCAGGCTTTCTGGCACAGCCCCCCTCCTTCAGGCCTGGGGAGTCCCTGCTGGTCTGAGGCCACACATAAAGAGAGAAGCTAAAAGCACAGCAGGGTGCTGGTGAAAACGGAGAGCGACAGGCGCAACGACGACAGGGGCCATGGGATCCGGGGAACATGGAGAATCCACCCCGCAACGCCTGCAGGCCCCCAGCCCTCATAACTGCAGGCTACAGTGATGGGCTGAGCCGCCTCACTTTTTACAGGAGCCACCTGGGACTGGAAACCAAGGGACCTGCCCATGACCAGGACAGCTCCCAGCCAGCCCTGGGCTGCACGAGGGAGCACAAGGAGGCTGCAGGTGGCTGGGGACTGTCCGGTTTCAGGCCATCTCCCACCAGCTCAGGACAGCACATGCAGACTTCCCTGCGCAGCCCTGGGGTGACTGGGAGCTGTCCTGGTCACAGGCAGGTCCCAGTCTCCTGCCTCAATTGGGTGACTGAGGCGCGGGGCGTGGAAAAAGCTTCAGCGGGGTGGGGGTCAGTCCCAGCCCCCTACTCTTATCCTCTGGTGGGGCAGCCAGCAGCAAGTGAGCTGTCACACAGGGGATCAGGGTAAGGGGCTGGGTCCTGCCCATCCCCTGCAACTCTTTCCACACCCTGCACCCCTGCTCAGGGAGCAAGGGTAGGAGCTCCCCTCTGCCAGGTCAGGGGGATGTCGGCCCCACCCCAGCAGCAGACAGCACCCCAGGGCCCAGAGATAAGCATCTCGGTGCTCCCTGCCACCCCCCTGCGCTAGCCTGAAGCTGGCCCTGGTGTCTGCAGGGGCCCATTACTGGGCTGCGGGTACCTGGGTGCAAATCTGCTCCCTGCTCCTTGCATGTGTCAATGCCTGCCCAGAAAGCCTTTTTCCGGCTGGGCTTATGCAAGCGTAACTTGGAGACAGAGTAAACACATGTGCAGACATGCCCGCTCCTCATTAACTACTGCGTGGTCAGTCTGCTACCTACATTTACAGGTAGTAGGAAAGCACACAGTAGCCTGTGTTACCACACAGTCCCCGCTGCACGCATTTACAGAGCGACCCTTTACTGTGCGGTAGATTGGCCTCCCGTGCACAAAAACACCTTGTGTATCCGCACCTGCTAGATACATGTATGTCTGCGCTGCGGGAGTGGACTTACCCAAGCGAGCCAAGGCAAAGGAAGCAGCCTAGAGGCATCAGGAGGGTACTCTGATCTGACTTCTTTATCCCCCCGTCCTTTAAAGCTACCATGGGCATCTCTTACCTGATGCTGCATCGTGCAGAACAGGCGCATCCTGACCTGTTGGTCTTTCCAGACGATGGATTCCCTGTTGACAGTCTGTTTAGAGAGCAGGGCGTGGTATTTATCCCGGATGCCAGGCAAATTTCCGGAGACAGCATCTCACATTCCAGAGTTGCATGGAGATAAATAACAGCAGCGCTGAAAAAAGATGAAGGGACCCATGTTTTTCCATAAATCCCAGCAAGTAAAAGCTACATTTCTCAGGTACCAAAAGCCATCCCGCAACTCTACAGACACATTTCGAGGCAGGCCTGTCGGTTAGGCACCGTACAACTTCCTTCCCATTGGAAAGTCACTTAATGAATTGTCTCTTTTCTTCACCGTTCTACGTCCATTACCTCTCCAAACAGCTGCGGACCTTCACAGGGTGTGGTGAAAGTCTGCTCGTTAGCCCAGCTGAAATGTTCAATGTTTAAGGTAAAGCGACGTTGCGAATAGGTATACGTGTTTCAAGGACAGCAAAGGGCCCAAGGGTACCAAGCTGGGCCCGACCCACCCGATTTGCCTACTAAGGTAAGAGGATGGGCTCTGCACATGTGGGCGCACTGTCGGACCTTGACTCAAGCTGGGCTTTTGCTACGGTCTCCCACAACATTCCCACAGGCGAGCCGAGAAAGTCTAGGTTGGATAAAGGGTCTGGAAGGCGGACCAAAACCTGTCCGGATCGTTGCGTTCAGAGGGTAGCAGTCAATGGCGTGATGTCCGGTGGGCGGTCAGGATCAGGTGGAGTGCCTCAGGGGTCAGCTCTGGGCCCGTTTGGGTCATTATCTCCATCGGTGACCTGGAAGATGGCATAGAGCGCACCCTCAGCACCAGGGCCGGCTCACAAGTTTTTGGGGTCCCCTGGCACGAAGAAGGCATTGGCAGTGGTGTGGGGGTGGCAATCACAGGGGTGGGTGAAGGTGTACCAGGGCCCTGGGTAAACACAAGAGTGGAGGCCCCCTCCCACTGTGGCACGGTGGCAGGGGGATAAGGGCCCCTTCCCTTCCTAGAGCTGGCAAGGGAGGCTGGGGAAACCCCTGCCCGGCTGTGGGGCACATGCCCACCACTTCTCCCTGCTCCCCACCCCCACTACAGCCAAATGTACACATACACGGGGCAGACAAGGTTCTCTAGGTAAAGCTGATATCTTTTTGAGACCAATGACATGGTTGGAAACAGTTTTCTAGCCAGCTCTCCAATTTAAGCACCCTCGATCAGGCCGAGGAAGCTTCTGCGGTCGGTGCATGCTCTTCCCGGATGGAACAAGGAGTAAAGACACCGGAGGCAGGCCTGCATGCAAGCCAGTCAGTGACAGTGTAAATTGAGGAGTCGGTGGCTGAGAGCCAGCAGGTCTCGTGGAACCGGTCCTTAAACCGCTTGTTACCGAAGGAGTGAATTTGGTCTGAGACGCTACAGACATTGTATAAACACTTCAAAACACAGGCTGCCTTGCCAGCAACAGCCTCCTAGCCAGCATGGATGTTACCGTCTTATATTTCACCATCCCCTGCCAGGACAGCGTGCCCCGCCTATCTCCAAGAGCAAGCTGGCGACTCAGAGTACAGATCCAACGATACGACGGAAATGCTATGCTTCATCCTCGCATGCAACAATTCCACTTTTAACAAGCACCGCTTCCTCCAGGCCGTGGGCCCACAGGAGGCCACCTTGTTTATGAGCCACCTGGAAGACTTCCTCAAAGACTGCGCCATCCTACCCTTGCTGTGCTTAAGCCAGATCAACGGCATCTTTGTCGTTTGCACCAAAAACTGGCCACATCTCCAACTGAGTTCCATCAGATATGCGGCGGTCGTCGCCCCTCCGTCCGACTGTCTCTCGCGGACTCTGGCACCGATGTCTCCTTTCGAGACACGATGATCAGCATCCCGAATGATAAAATACATCCATGGCAGATGAGGAACCCATGGACCAATGTCCATGTCTGCACGGAACCGGCAGTTGCCCAAAACATGCCACAAAACCTGTTATACCCAGCCAAGCCCTCAGGTAGCACGGAATTGGCGCTGAGGGAAACACCCGGGATCGCCACCTCACAGCTCTTAAAATGGCGTTCACATGGCAGAGACACTACGCCAGCAAGATAGCTGCATGTTTGAAAGAGCCGCCCAGATACCACGTGACCAATGGCTGCAGTGCAGAAGGAAAGCCCCGAGACTCATGCACTGCAGGTTATGACGTATCACCGCTCCCTCAAACCTACTTGGAAAATCCTCAAACCATTGCCGCCCACACTAGAAGGAGACCCTATTCTTCCTGAGATCTTCCCGGAGCCACCTGTCCCGGCCTCCCGACAAGCACTGAGCCTTGCAACCCTCATCGCCAAAGGCAAACTTCTTGCAGCCCAAAACACACCAAACTGGTCCAGGCCATGCCATGAAATGCAGTGCAAAGCCTACCAATGTATCTCCACTGCCATGACTGCTACACGCCACGACAGAACCATAGTCCTTCCTGGGTCTGACACCGGCACCCCCAGAAGCATTCACTATCTCGTCCAGCACACCAAATGCCCCAATGGCAAATACGTAGCAAGGACCAAACAACAACCGCGCGCCACGGTGAACACACGCCGGAAATCTATCTGAGGCCGGAGTACCCGGTGACTGGTAGGGGCACGTTTCTCATGAGAAAACCGCTCCCACTCCAGTCTCGCAGGATGAATTCTCCACAGGAACATGCAAAATGCTTTCCACAGACGAGCCTACAAACTTCACTTTGTCAACCTCCTGGATACAACAACTCCTGGCCGAAACACAGAAGCAATGCAAAGTTGTAGAACTCTTGGTTCCAAAATGATCCCTTTATGAGACCAACTGGGAAATCTCCAGAAACCCGTCCTTTTTGGTGAGCTTTCAGGCTCCAAAGCCCTTCATCAGGCTCTGAGAAAAGTATAAGTGGTAAAAAGTCCCCATGGGTAGGAAATACACTTCATTTGGGCACAGAGGCAGTTGGACGTGGACAGCTGTCCCTCTGGGTCCAGCTTTGTCTTGTGATCTCCCAGTTGGTTTTGTAAAAGGGATCATTTTGGAACCGAGAGTTCTACTTTTTGCATTGCCTCACATCTACAGACCAGCACAGCTACCGAGTACATCCCGTAAACACGGACGATGCCGAATTGCAGCCGATGTTGGATTTTAAACTTTGTGTCAGAACAACAAGCAAGGTTTTCTTTACCTCCCCACCTGCTGTCTGACACAAGGAATTTTACCTACTTGCCATGCCAACAAGAAGCTCGGCACAACTCTCAAAGGTAAAGCTACCAAGTACACCCCTGGACTAAACACAGACCTGGGATTTATGACACGCTATAAGCTGCCTGACATCCGACTCCACAGGTACCTCTTCACTTTCCCCTGCTACATTCATCCCCCTTCCCTAGCCCCACCCCACCACTGTCCTCAATGCACATCTCCACTGCCTGCCCTTCTTGCTGCAGACCAGCTGCTGGCCTCTTTACTATTCATGCCCTCCAGGAAGAGCGCACACCAACTGCAGAGGCTTCCCCAGCCTGACCAAGCGTTTTTAAACCCAAAAGCTTGCTCAGGAAAATGTTTCTAACTATTTATATGGTCTAATAAAAGATCTCTCTCTCTCTCTCTCTCTCTCTCACTCACTCACTCACTCACTCACACACACACACACACACACACACACACACACAGAACCCCTCCCTGCCCCCAGCCACCTCAGTCTCACTCCCCCCCACCTCCATTACACTCACGTGCAGGGAGCTGCTGCCTGGCCATCCTGAGCAGCCCACAGGTGCAGTGGGCAGGGCAGGGCTTGGCTGGGCTGGGTCCAACAGAGAGCAGGAAGGCAGGGCTCCCCCTGCCCAGCTCGGCCCCCTCCCCTGCAGGCATGGCGGGGCTCTTTAGGCAAGACCCCAGCCCGGCATCCCCTGCCCCAGGAGGAGGGGTCCTGCTTCCGGCTCCCGGGGAAGCCAATGGGAAAGCTGCAGCTTTCAACCTGGTGCCAAAAATGGGTGCAGAGTTTAAAACAGCAGCTTTCGCTTCCCTACTGCAGAAGATGCCGGCCGCATGGGGTCCCTCGGCTGCAGCGCCTCCTGCGGCCACCGGGGTCACCGGCAAGGGCAGGCCGGGCCTCAGCAAGTGTCCAGATGACACCCAAGCTGAGGAGAGTAGTAAGGACACTGCAGGCTAGGGCTAGGATTCAGAGACCTCAGCACGTTGGAGGACCAAATCAATCTATATCTCACGAGGTTCAACAAGTGCAAAACCCTGCACTTAGGTTGGAACAGTCCCTCACCCCGGGACAGGCCGGGGGCTGACTGGCCGGGCAGCCGCTCTGCAGAAAGGGACCTGGGGGGGACGGGACAATGAGCGGAAGGGGAGTCAGCAGTGTGCCCTTGTCGCCAAGAAGGCTAACGGCATCCTGGGCTGCATGGGTAGGTGTGTTGCCAGAAGGGCAAGGGAAGCCTCACCTCGATGCATCAGTGGTGAGGTCACATCTGGAGTCCCGTGTCCAGTTTTAGGCCCCTCACTACAGAAAGGATAGGGACAACTTGGAGAGAGTGCAGCGGAGGGCAATGGAAAAGGTTAGGAGGCTGGGGCACATGACTTCTGAGGCGAGGCTGAGGGCACAGGGCTGATTTAGTCAGAAAAAGAGAAGACTGAGAGGGGATTCAATAGCAGCCTGCGGGGAGGCTCCAAAGAGGATGGAGAGGGGCTGTTCTCAGTGGAGGCAAGGAGCAACGGGCTCATGCTGAAGCAAGGGACCTCTAGGTGCGATAGGAGGAAATACGTTCTCGCTGGGAGGTGCATGCTGCCGAGGCAGCTGCATCCCCAAGAGGACTGCGTCCTTGAGTAATGACCGCTCTTCATGTACCCC